TTGGCAGATCCTTTTGTAACAAAGAAAGTCTTGAATCTGAAAGGTGTCCTAATCTACAATACTATAGATCTTTATCAGATTGATGAGAAACAGAAGCTGAAATAAACATTGTCTATGAGAGAAAACAAGTAAAACTGCAACAAGAGATATAGGAGAGGCAATTATCATATTGAGTTGGTACAAGCCATTGTGAATCTCACCCTTCCCAATCATGCTTCAAGTGAAAAGGTCATGAATAAAACATTCATTAGTGAAGAAAAAGAAACAGTAGTTAAGATCTTGTGATAACTTTCTGGTTGGCAAAAAATTGAAGTTGAAAGATGGGATGTGATAAGGGCGAAATTTTAGGTATGGACAGTCATAACCCCGAAGCCCAATAAGCCCAGAGGATCCTTGCCTAGTTAGTAACCTAAAGGGAGAACCCCCAATCAGCTCATGTCGGAAAGGAAGAAGCCCAACGGCACCAGAGGACCATCAGCATAGCCCAGGCCCAGTTCAGCGACTAGCTAAAGGATAACCCAGTACCAAGAAGCCAAGCCCTCGCCTTGGGAGCACCCCGCTAAGCCACATGTCCAAAGGACAAGGAGAACATCTCTAAAGCCTGTGGCAACTACACCCTCTCAGACATAGAGAGTGGTGGTGCGCGTAACGATCCAGAGATTGTGGGCATAGCAACACTGAATAGAGGAGACTGTTGCAGGACAATGACGGAGGACCCCACAAAATCAACAAAAAGGTAGAAGGAGCCGTTGGAACCCTAGAAAGAAGGGCGGGTATAAATAGAGCAGTGTTAACCTACTAAGGGGGCAGATATATGACTCTTAGCTCTAAACACACAAGGAAGTGTAAGCTCTTGTGAAGGCTCTATGCCACCAATCTCGATAGACCCACCAGACCTCAAAATACAACCTGAAGGAGCAAGAGACTCTATTACAGTGGACGTACCCTTAGTCTTTCGACTGCAGTGAACCATTTACAGTCGATGCCTTTCATTACTCGCAAATAAACCTCATACTCAATCGAACTCACTAATCCAAGTAGCAACTCACTAATTGGCCTTGGGCCATTATTTCCGAGCCCCCATCAAGATGCATAACACATTTTTTACGATGATAGTCTCACTGATTTTAACAGTTCCTTTATGTGCTACATCTGATAGGTTACCATTGGGAAGTTTCACTTTGTAAGAGACTTTGGTAGGGGCAGAAGTGTAGATGGAGGTACAACAGATCATATGATATGTTGCACTTGTATCTATGCTCCAAGGAATTTTGGTGACATCTAAATACACAACTTCAGAAGTTGGAAAAAAAACAGTCATGACACTGGGCTTAGGACCAATATTTGCAATATGTGAGGTAGTCTAAACTTGATTAGCAGGAGGATGTGGAGTCTTAGTTTGGAGTAGAGCCATGAGATATTGAGACCCTTCAGTGTTCTGCTCTTGGTTTACTATACGGGCTTGATTTGCTGAAGAGCCAAATCCTTTGGTCTTCTTGTACATCTTGTGGCCTGTTGGATGGCCATGGAGTTTATGACACTTCTCAATAGTGTGTCCAACAGTATTGCAATGAGTACAAAATAGTTTTTCAATAACTAGGTTGACCTTGAAGCACCTCTCCAATGAGTAACCTGTGATTTTGCAACTGGTGCAATAAGGCCTTACTCTCTTCTGGAATCCAAAATGTCTGGTGTTCTCTCTGTTAGCTTGGTTTTTGTTGTTAATGCAAGAGATCATTCACATTAATCCCTATGGAGAATTGTTTTCATTTTTCTTCTTGTTGAACTAAAGCATAAACCTCACTCAAACTAGGTATTGGATTGATTAAAATGATATATGCCTTAATATTTGTAAAAGAATCATTCAAGCCCATAAGGAACTTCATAATCCAGTCTCTGTTGATTTTCAAGAACAGTTTTCATAGCTCCACAAGTACAAGATGGTATGGATTTCAAATTTTAGAAGTAGTTCATCAAGCAATCCCTTAAGTTTTGATAAATATAGACTTACAAAGTCTTCCCCTTGAGAGAGAGAATGAATTGATTGCTTTAGATCATAAATCCTAGGACCATTATTTTGGGCAAATCTTTGCTCCAACTCAATCCAAATTTCATGTGCAATTTTATTCTTGATTTCCAAGGACATTGCATTCTGGGTCAAGTGACGACCATGTCAATGCATTCGAGCCATGAATCCATTGTAGGATCATTGAGTTTAGTTGGCTCACATAAACTCCATCTATAAAACCCAATTTCTTCTTGATTCAAAGTGATCTTGGAACTATTCGAGCTCAAGAGTGATAATTATCAGCAGTGAGTGGATAATTGGTGAGAAGAGTGTCTAGTCCATCATTTGGGTTGAGAAAGTATGGACTAGTAGGATCCTTTGAGTTGGTGTTAATTACAACATTATTAGTGTTGGAAGCAACATAATTGCTAGGATTTTCTGGTGTGTGTTGTTGTAGCCATTGAAGCTCTGATACCATATCAAATTTTCTATAGAAAGAGAACAGAAAACAGAGAGCAATGGAGAAGAGAAGAAGAAAGGATTCTCATTCATTTATTCAAAAGTGTTGTTTATAGATCTATAGCCATTTATATATATATGTTTATACTAGTTTCAATAGTATTTTTTGTTTTCCTACCAAAATCATCATCGAGCAGTGACAAGAGTATTGCCCAAGGAATTGCAAACCAAAACTAATTGTCTAAATGCTATATACAAAATGAAAATTTCCTAACAGACTCCCTGCTCATCCATGTGTTCTTGGATGCTTCTAGTATATCCATGTGTGAAGCATTGCTCTACTGACTTGGCTTATTGAGCTGGCTGCCTTCTTGGTGCTTAAGTCACTGCATATTTTGATAGGGTGAATGTTGATTTCCAACTAGATGTAACTTTTGGAAGCAAACTAGTCCCCAATCATCCCCACACGGAGGGTAGAAAACCGTTGTGCTGACATGCTTGTTAACATCGAAGGACAGCAGTTCCAAAACCTAGTCGTGCTAGAGTCTCCTCCCACTCAAGTTTGGAGTTTTTTGAACGTGGATTTAGCATGTATCTATTTTGCTAGAAGGTCTGGCCACTATCACTGCTGCCACCATCCACCATTACTATTGTCGTCACACGACTACCACTAAATCAAATATTGTGCACTTGTTGTCATCTATTGAGGCGGTGAAGATGCAATTGCAATTACTGATATCTCATGTTTTACTTTATTGGTTTTGTACAGCGAATAATTAATACAAATATTTGTTGGAAAATAAGAATTCAAATATATGAAAACAATGAAAACATAACACAAAAATATAATGTGATTCGATATAGCATGCCCACCTTGGTATACCGTACAGACATCCATGGACCAAGTAGTTACATCGATGTATTATTCGTTGAAAAACTTGTCATCTGATAATTGATTGCATAATACACACCCCTATTTATATGGATAAAATACTACAACCAAAACCTTTTCAAATACAAATCATTATATTTCCTATCACATGTTTAATATACATATTCATGATATATTAAAATTCTTCCAATATAATCTTATTTCATATAGAATTCTCATATTGATTGCCCAACAAACTCTCCATCACGATAATTAGAGAGTTTGGGTCAAATTTCAATATACTTCGAGCATTAAAGTTAGTTTCTGCAACATTGTATATGTTACTGGATAAAATTTGGTCTCCCAACCTCTTCCAATAATGCCATCATATTATTGATATCACGAACCTTATTACAACCGATGATTTGAATAATGAAGCAAACAACGAACAGAACATTCCCGGGTGTAAGTGAAACCCGTGCATGATCAGTTCCATTATGAGCAAAAAAAAACCATTGTAGTGATTGGGATAGTGATAGACTCTTTATGATTGGTTGTGCCTTTGCAAAGTGTTCCTAAAATGCACGTGATGTTGCATTGTAGTCAACAAGTGCACAGGAGGTGGTGGAAGTGATAGGGGGTGGTGGTGGTGGTAGTAGTTTTGTGTTGATGATGGAGGTGGTGGAAATGATAGGGAGCGGTGGTGTTTGTGATGGTTTGGGGGATGTCGGTGATTCAAGATAAATAATTACATAAGTTCAAATCGGTTATACCCATATCCAACCCATCTTAAATTCATTTATGTTATTTGATTGATATTGTCTAACAGAAAAATAAATCAGCTATCCAACCTATTAATTTATAGATGGATTAGGCAAGTTATTGATTGTTGATTAGAATTTTCACCCATGCCTAATATTATTAAATATAACATATTGTACAATATTATTGGACTTAGATTAGGCACACCTGTCTTTAAAGTCTATTGTACAATTAAAATTCAAAACTCACATTTATATATTACTTCACACTTACTTGACGAAACGAGAACATAACACATACGGGGAAGTACTCGGTGTGAAGCGTTACTTTAGAAAGAATGCTTTTTTTTTTTGTTTGCTACATGACTATCTAAGCCCTGCACAAAGTCATGGTAAGAGACGTCATACGTCCCTCCAAACTCCAACGAAATGGCACAAGACAACATCTGTACGTTACTTCGAATGTGCAAAACTCATATATAACATGAAATGAAACNAAGAGACGTCATACATCCCTCCAAACTCCAACGAAATGGCACAAGGCAACATCTGTACGTTACTTCGAATGTGCAAAACTCATATATAACATGAAATGAAACAATATTTCCCGAAATCACCCAAAATTTTGAAACTCCACCTGTACCTCCTTTTTCTATCCGCCTTGGAATTAGAAACGCAATACAATGGCCGGTATTGTACTTAGCTTCGGTCAAGCAAACCTCCTCTTCTATTAAGAGGTTTTCCAGACGCACCAAAACTGCAAGTCTTTTTCCCTTGTCTTCTTTTTGTTTCTTTTCGGTCCATAGCTTATGTCAACTACCCCAAATATGAATAAATAAAAGTTTGATGTAAATTACTCGATCCTATAAGGTTAGTGCCCAAATAAAAGGAAGCCGCTTGCTCAGTCTAAATCCTTCACGGAACCTGAGGATGAGTCCCCACTAGAAGATTCCTCCATGTTCGCCAAATTTGGTAGGCTTTCTTGATGGGTTTCCTCACTGGTGCAGCCTCGATTTTTGGTGAGTCTAGGTCGAACATTGACACCAATGGGGAAGGGCACCTGTAGAGATAAAAAGACCAAAGTAAGATCACTTTCTTCCTTTTCTCTGTTTATTAGTATCATTGTAGTTGTTATGTTCCTCCAGGGAGAGTTCTATTCTGCCTTCATGTAGCAGACCATCTCATGACACCTTCATAGGCAAAACATTAATAACTCTCAAGAAATGCCTTGGGCATAAATATTAAATACCAAGGCTGAGCCAATTAAAATGAATCTCAAATGAGAAAAAATCCTAGGGTAGATATAGGGCTTGATTTTAAGTTTGTCTTTCTTTAATGTTCAAGCCAATAGATCAAGCTTCAAGAACACATAATAAACAAATAGACCCATTATGAGTGCATACCTGATCACCTGCATTTGGACCATCAGTGTGGAAAAGAATAGGGCGGCATCTCTTATCCTCATTCATCAAGCTTGAATTCTGGAAGTGGGCAATAAGAGCAGCTTTTCCCTGTATGCGAGCATATGCAAGAGATGCCACTTTTTCACTATTAAACTTTTCCCATTTCTTTCCATTAAATGCCTGCCAAAACCAGAATGAATCATCTGTCAACTTTAGTCATCATAAGTTACAACGTGTGATAAGTTCTTGAAGAAAATTTATAGCATAACGAAAATAAAATCTCTTCACAGGATCAACATAACAAACCTGATAGAAAGGAACAATTAGGGAGGGATCAGTCATATTGATGAATGCATAACCCACATTGCATTTGTTCTGCAACAAATGGAAGGCCAGATTATTTTCAGATAGAAGCCAAATTAAATCAACACATTCGATTCCTCCCACCCTAAATCCTTTCTACAACATCAAGTTCTTGTTCCAGGTGAAAATGCACTTGCCTTGAAATCAATGGGCAAATAGATGAAATCATAAGTTCCTCGATGGTGTTCATCAATTGCAGCCAAAAGCATCTTTGAAGTATACCTACAGTCACCTCCCCATGTTAATACCAGAATCATGGCATGGCACTTATCAAATTAACCATCTTTTTCTAACATATTACAATACATAAACTCAGAGAAGAACATTACTCCCAGAGCCATTTAATCTTCCAAAAGATAAGTAAAAGCAAAACAAACATTAAGATAAAAATAGGTAGTCATTCCCCAAAAATAAAACAAAAACGTACAATTTTTGTTAAAAAAAGAAAATCTTAGCAGGGTGGGTATTTGTGTCACATGCGTGCGAAACAAACAATAGGGGAGTGACTAAACTATTCACAGTGCTTAGTTACACTTGCTCATGTTTGAAAAATCTCACATGATAGCACCACCACAACTTCATTACTTGTTTACACCGAGAAACCCCATGGTCTGGTCATCATCTTATGACAACTAGCTTGATTTCCCACAAACTGATGTTTGAGCATCAATAAATTTCAAATGCAAGAAAAAAGATCAACTTAAAGAATTAAGATATGGGGTCATAAAAAGTTTACAGGTAACTACGTACTTGTTTGGAATGTTCTTAATCATAAGCGTTGTGCGCTTATCTTCCCCTCGCACAATCTGATCAATGTCGAGTTCAAATTGTTTCTTGTTGTCAGGTTGACTGGAACTGCCTTCATTTCTACGGTTTCTAGCCCGTTCATTTGGAGAATCAAATGAATTCATCATAGGAATCATTTGACCTCTTGTGGGAAACATCAGGCACCTCGGACGATGGGAGTTGAATCCAACATTTTTGGAGGGAATTGGTAGGTCCATACAGTTTCCACCAGCACAAGGAAACATGTTATGAGGAACAAATTCTAATGGATGCGGTGAGTTACCAGATATCCTCATAGTCCCACAAGAACCTGGATGAAAAACAGAAGCATCAGGGGATTCCCCTGCATAGGCATGTCTTCTGTCCCAAAGTGAAAAATTAACAGATGGGGCCGATCCGACATGGTGGTTGTTTAGGGGGAAAAGTGTGCTCAGCATATGAGATGGTGCTCTTGGAATTGCATGCAATTGTGGAGGCGGGTGAGCAGCAAATGACGGTGAATTTGGCCAGATCGTGCCTTGAGGCTGAGGGTGATGTGAATTACTCCACCTATAATGCTGCCCAGGGGAGGGGCAACTCCCATTTCCAGAAGGACCAAAAGCTGAAAAAGAAAGCAGAAAACTGTGAAATCAGGACACCAGTGAATAACCGAGTATGCCGGCTCCATTGTGATACAAGTCAACATGTATTGCTCGTGTTCTATCTTTTCGGTGAAAATGTTTACCTAATTCTCAATCATCCAAGCAGAGATAGGAAATCAACACGCATAACAAATCAATGGCAAACTAGATCCACTACACTTACCACCTTCATTCAGTTCAAGTTCATTTGAGTTGACTCTGCAAAACCGCCTGTCCTCAATTCTGGCACTAATATTTGCAGCAGTATTGCCAGGAGAATTACAGGGAGCACTGTTAGCAAAACCATCATGATACTCTGGAAGCGACAGAGGATGAACATTTGGGGTGCCNTATCTAATGGTCTGGCACTAATATTTGCAGCAGTATTGCCAGGAGAATTACAGGGAGCACTATTAGCAAAACCATCATGATACTCTGGAAGCGACAGAGGATGAACATTTGGGGTGCCCTGGAATTCAAACTTCAGTTGGCCCAGTAAGTGGCCTGACTCGGTGACACTGGATTGATTACCACCTGACTCCTTTCTCATGACGGAGGGTACACTGCTAGGAACACTAGACGAAATACCATGCTGTAATGTGTTTTCCANTGGCACTAATATTTGCAGCAGTATTGCCAGGAGAATTACAGGGAGCACTGTTAGCAAAACCATCATGATACTCTGGAAGCGACAGAGGATGAACATTTGGGGTGCCCTGGAATTCAAACTTCAGTTGGCCCTGTAAGTGGCCTGACTCGGTGACACTGGATTGATTACCACCTGACTCCTTTCTCACGATGGAGGGTACACTGCTAGGAACACTAGACGAAATACCATGCTGTAATGTGTTTTCCAGGAATGAACAAATAGGAGCTCCAGTCGTAGAGTATACACCTAGGATAGTTCCATTGTCCATACCACAAGACGTGATTCCCCCGTGTGAAAATGCTCCTGTAATTGATTATTGTGAGGCAACAGATACATTGTTTTCTTTAAAATTGTAGCAGATAGGTAGTATCCTCATGGAAATATACATACCAGATAGTCCTGTAGTTAAACTACTAGGGGGGCTACCCTGTTGCAAAAAAGCAACAGATTCATCTTGCTCCAGCTCTGAAGGATACAGTTGCATCAAACTGCAACAAAATTAGTCTGGCTATAAGAATGAAATGAACACAGGTATGGGTCTCAAACTAGTCATAAAAACAATTCCCCACAAAATGAGTAAAAACCATTAGATTTTGGCCCCCACTAGGTCATTTCCCTTTCAATGGTGGCTAGTAGCCTAAAGGAAATAAAAAGGAAAGAAATTGAAGCAATAAAACGAATACAAACAAGATAAACATCCATGCAACAATATCCCACCGTCTAGCACCACCAGGACGGCTTGGTTCAAGCTTAATCCGCTTCCCTGCAATGTCACTCCTGTTCAATGCACGGAGAGCAACTTCTGCAGCTCTAATATCATAAAACTCAATAAATTTGTGATGACTTCTATGTGGAGTTTCGCGTATCTGCATCCCAGTAACAAGAATTAACTGTCATTAACCCAGCTGTTGAAAATTTTAGTCCAACACAAGTTGGTAAACAAGCTAACCTCCTTGATTTCGCCATAGACACCAAATATTTGACGGAGTTCATCATTTGAAACAGAAGACTCAAGGTTGAAAACCACAAGAGTGCCTTGATTGATATCTTTATCTGAAGGATTATCCTGACAAAAGATAACCAGCAAAGGAAGGAGTCAAGTGATGCTTCTTGTTGCACCAATAAACAGAGATAAGGAAGCAGTCCACATGTATGCAATCCTCATGTTTATAAGGACATAACAATGACCAGTGAACGGAAAAAGGATACCTTTGGAATTGAGAAATGTATGTCCAGCTTCCTACGCCTCAGTGGTTTGTTCTGGAGAGCCTTCATTGCATTTCGGGCTGCTCTAATATCATAATAAGAGATCATAACAAAACCTCGATGCTTGCATGCCGTATATAGAGTGCGGATATCTCCATATTGCTGCATATTGAAGATTCACTAATAAGGGTCAACACTCATCAAGACATCACGGTCGACAAATATGCATGAACAACACCTTAAAATGCCCAAAGAAATGGAAAACAGCACACCTCAAAAAGGGCTCTTAACTCAGAATCTTCAACATTACTATTAATGTTTCTCACAAAAAGTGTTCTAGATGGGTGCTCTCCAAAAGGATGTTCCCCAGCAATGGAATTACTAGATCCACCTAGCAGACCAATAGAATTTCCTCCAGCAAATTCTGAATTTTTTTGTCCGAATGACAAACCATCTTCTCCCAAGTCCATCCCTCCAACACTGCTAAACAGGTCTAAATCCTCAATATCATCCCCAGTATTGACTTGGGCAACATAGTCAAGCCCATCAGTCACTCCAGAAAGCAAGTCGTCATCATTAGGGAGGAGATTTCCAATAGTTTGGGCCTCAATTTCTTCAAGTGATTCAAAGGGTTCCTCATCTTCATAGTGGGAGGCAGCAGCATCAACAGAATGGCCAAATAAAGGATCAGTTGATGACAATCTCACTGCACAACAGAGCCCAAAAGGAAACACAGAAAAGGGAAATTTTTTTAAATTAAACAAAAGGAGCAAATATATTAGAGAATGAGCAAACTATTGCATCTAGAGATTAAGAAAGGCAACAAGCTAGGAAACATTTCCAGACACCTATAGAATCTCTGGTAGCATGAAATAGTCAACAGTTGAAGCATTTGAGCAACCACAAAGCATTCATTGAGAGACGGGAAGAAGAGGACTTACATTTTCTACTAAATAAATCTGACAACGAGCTTGAAAAGAGGCCATTCTCATAATTAGCACCCCTGGTATTAATTATGTCTCCTTCCATAAAGTAAGATGCCGGCTCTGTCTTAAAATTTGATCTCGAGCCTGTCTCATGGTTAAGTGGTCTGCGCATGGAAGGACCAGTTGCTCTCTGTGCTCCCTTCAAAGATTTCTCTAAGCTAAAGTTAATATTCTGGTCTTGGATTAGGTAAGAATCAGAAAGTTTGAAGCTCTTCGCCATCCGAGAATCAATTGGCATCCATTTCTCCAGGGTGGATGAAGCAACTGAATTAGCACGGGATGTCTGTAGGGATCCATCCATTTTTAAGCCTGAATAAAGGTAACATCCTCATTAGTAGTCAACATTTCAGGAAATGGCTTCAAAAGATTTTAGAATTTAACACAAAATGTCCAAATTCCATGCATTAATTTTGCACAAAGATAATAGATCTAGTATAGAACTCTTTCCTTATCCAGTCCTCTCAAACGCAGGCAGGGGATACAGCAATAGAGTATTTTACGAAAGTACAATTTTTCTCACCACAGCCCACTGTACTCTAAAAAATAAGGACTATGATACTTTCACCCAAAAGCAAATTCCATGAAATGGAATTCAAACAAGTGTATCTTGACTAAAGTTGAAAGACATTCATGGAATCCCAATTTTGACACGAAAAATAACTGCCAATGCCATTCAGTTAATTATGAGGACATTTGGTCAACTATGCAAAATTTTCCTGTCGAAAATGATACCATGAAGATATTTTTTCTTTATCTAGACTAAGTTCAATAGTTTTTCCTTTTTTCATTGGGAAAATGGTTGACACAAGAGTACACATTGATTTTAACCAGTCTCGGTTGGTTTTGAGCATGTCAATGTCTATACTTGCTCCTTGTTTTTTTCCTTCTTTGATTTTTTTTTTTTTTTTTTGTT